GATCCCGCGATCCTCGCCCCGACGGCGCGGGCGGGGCGGCCGAGGGTCGCCCTGGAGGCATCGCCGGGAGAGCTGAACTGCCTGTCCAGCCCTGGGGAAGCCCAGGCACCCGCACCTGGGGAAGTGCCGGAGCCTGTCGTGTTTGGCCAGTTGGGGTTCTCGGCAATGCGTGGCCAAGGGGGAAGAAGAAAGAAGTCTTCCTTCTTTTATTGTCGCAGCTGATTGAAACTTTTGAATGACAAAAGCATCCAGGAGTGCTAAAGGTTTGGGAGGGAGGGGAGCTTTTAAGTTTTCTTGGAGGGAGGGAATAAAACCTTTCTTTCTGCAAGGAATCCTAATTATGTTTAGTTGACAGGTGCAAGAACTGCTTGGATAGATGATTTTCCTTTGGGGTGTCTGACCTTTTAGAAAGGAGTATTTTATTTGAAGGAGAGGTTTGCATTCACTGTGGGGCTCGGCAAACTAGGGGGGGATGACCGGGAGGAGGGAAGGGAAGGCTATTTGTGTGTGCATGTGTATTGGGAGTGTGTGATACCCACACAATTTTGAGATCACTGTGGTAATGTGTAGTCTGAGGCAATAAGATGTATTGACACTAGGAAACAACAGAATTAGCAGCATTATTAAGTGGCTTTCTTGTTGGCAATTTTAAATTGAATTTTTAGTAAAAGTGACTGACAATTTCATGTTGGCCTTGTAATCATGGTAGTCACTAAATTTTTTTTACTCTGCCCTAATTGCTTAGCCTCTGAGCTGTTATGATCAGAGCTTTTAAAGGCAGTGCAAATGACTGCTGAAATCCCAGGGCTGGGCTCTCAGCTTTGAGTGGGTGAAAGTGCTGGAAAGTACATCAGAAATCCTATGCTCCTTGGATTTTTACCTTCTGGAGATCAAGGTGGGAGGGGTTCCCAATGTGATAAATTCTCTTACATGCAGGAGATAGTCAAACTTACCCACTATTGCCAGCTTCCCCGAAGCTTTCCTTTTCTCCCTTTCCAGTTCCCTAATTGGAGCTTGCCTCACCCTGCAGGCTGTGCTCATGGCATGCACTGCGCCCGGTCCTCTGGCCAGCACAGCACTCCAGTGTTTGCATTGCATTGCTTCCAACGGCCGGCCCAGTTTGCTTTAGTCATTGAAATTCTGGCTGAGCCCACTTGATTTTGTTTGTAACTTGAAACAATTTCTCTCAGCAGAGCCCCAAGGCATGAGGATGGCCAGCCCTAAAGCCACTGGGCTCTCCTGGGAGATCACTTGGCTTGCTATTGCTCTCTATGCTCATCTACAGGTAGGTAAAGAACTCTTTGCTGTTGTCATGCCTGGTCCTTTATCAAATGATCTTGCTGCACGCTTTGAATTACTGTTTTGAAACAGAAAGCTGCTGAAGGAACTGCACTGTAAATAAAAGACTCCCAGTGAGAAGGTTTTCCTTTCACCAAACTGAATTTCAAAGACATCCATGTGGGAAATTAATATTCTCTCTCCTTCTAGTAACCTGACTTTACCAAATGGGGACCAAAGGGAGATCTTTTCAGATATGCAATGCCATGGGTCTTTCTAGGCAGCACAGCTGCTCTTTGCCCCTAGAAGTTTTAGCACCTGATAAGTGTTAAGATGCTGTGAATGACAAGAGTTACATAAATACCTGGGTAGAAACATCTAAAGCACTTGGAAGTCAGTGTTGGGGGCTGGGGAAGGTGGTCCAAAAAGGTCTTTGCTTCAAGTGTTCAATGAGTACAGAAACCATGGAGGAAAACCATAGCTGCCAACTGATCTATTGCCTGACACATGAGCCTAATCAGTTCCAAGAAGTGAGTATTTCAAGAAATATGGTGTGCTGGCATGCAGCAGAGATGTTGTTACAGTATGTCATTCTCTATACTGATAGTTCCCACAGCACAGAATGCTTGAAGGATTCTTCAGTCTTAAATACACACATATCCAGAAATCCTTAGAAAAGGGCAGCTAAATTAACTGGAGAATATTTTTTTTTAAAAATGAATAGCATTGTTTTTTGAAGCAGTGTAGTAGTTTTTGACAAAGAAATGAAATCTTGGTTTTAAATAAAATCAGTGTTACTGTTTGCTGAAATAATGTTGTATACTGTTTGTACTATTGCAATGTGGAGAAATGGTGATTAGAACTGGAGCCTGATGTGCTGGACAGAAAATAAATGTGCATCCTAAAGAATTTTGAATTGAAGGACCACACAGCAGGCAAAAGTAAATTCAAAAGCAATATGAAGAACTGAGGAGGCTGTACTAGAGAGCTGAATAAGCTATGATCAATTTAGGGTGGACTTTGAAGTTTAAGACAGTAGGAATTGGGTCTCCAACACATCCTTGGTAGCACTGCTGAGTGTGCTGTGAGTCATTTGGCAGCTGATGAATACCTCTGTTTGTATTATGGTTGCAGCTAGTCATGAGAGTACACTGGTTACTTGAGCAAAAGACTCACCATTGGTGTAAAAATTTACATTTGTATTAATTGTGCAGTAAAACACAGAGCATTCAGCACATGGCCAAGCAGATAGGGCCACAGTGGCATCTCCTCTGTGCTAGCATTTTTTTATGCAAGAACAAAAATGTTACTGATTTGCTGTGCCTGTTCAGCATGTATGTTTGTGTGCAAGCAGTTGAGTGATGCTGTAATAACCAGCCCTATAAGACACCCAGAAAGCAACATATCAAGTTCCCATAATACTTCTGTTCAAGATGAGAATAGAAGCTCAGGGAAGGGAAATGTCCAATCTGTGTTTGGGCCTTTTGGTTAGGAAGGGGCCATTTTATTTTTTGTTTTACAATATTTTTCTTTCACAATATTTTTCTTTCATGTTTTTCTTATTGTAGAACTGGAACCAGTAGTGGCATAGTTTCCTCTTCACCACGAATGGTTTGGCATAGCTTCACTTGTCTCTTTGTAATAAAAACAACCAAACACATTGTAGTAATCAATAGGCTGTTGTGAGTAGCTTTATGAAAATTTCAATCCAGGTCAATTTTTTCGGTCTTGATTGTCCTTAAAAATATTGTAATCTATTTGGCATATATGAGTCATTAGCACTTAACCCCAATCTTGTAGGAGGCCTTTATGCTCCTAAGTTTTAGGTATTTTATCACAATTTTAGGCACATTAAAGATATTTTATATTATTTAACATAACATTTTTGGTATCCAATAACCATTAATTCTTTAATTGGTTGCTTGGGGCCATACTATATGGACCACACACAGTAATTCTACCTTAATATTGTACCATAACTTCCACTTGTGTTGTTTTTGGCTATTAAAGTGCTTATGTCTGGAGCTAATCAATTAGAAACAATTGGATGCTGGGCAAGGTCACAAGTCTATGTCGTATCACTTATGTGCAATTGATTAATTTCATCCTGCTTGAGGCAGGTACAGAATAAAATAATGACCATTTTAAAAGAATGTGGTGGAAATGTGGTATGTGTGTAATGCAAAGAAAACTTGAACATGAGAAGTTGTGAAAAAGAGGTAGCTGTTCCTGAGAAGAAATGGAAGTTAACTTTGGTTATAGGAGCTCTTTCTGATTCTTCCCACCATGGTAACAAACACAGTGTGGTGCTTAGCTGGGCTCCAAACTGAACTCTGCCCTTTCAGATGTGCAGTGTCTCAAATTTGACAAAATTACTTTGTCAAGAGCAGATTAGTCACTATACTAGCAGGCAAGTCAGGTTTCCTAGGATAACCCAGGGAATAGCTTACCACTGAGCATTGCTGAGCTGCTGTTTGTTAAATCTGCTCTGTGACCAAGAGCAGTGACATAAATCACTCAGGAAGAGATCACTTATGGGTAGGCTTTGGCTCTGTTCTTTTGCAAGTATAGGGCCTACTTTTCCTCCCATGTGCCAATATAAATGGATTTAATGGAACTGCAGTAGTGTAAAGCCAATGGTAATACAAGCTAATTACATTTGTATGTTTTTCTTTGAAAAAAATCAAAGTACTCCACCATCAAATGGTAGCAGCTACATGGAATAATTAATTATTTCTAAAGATTTAAATGACGACTCTATCCAAAGAAATTACTGTGCTCTACAGACTATATGTATTTGAGAATGTTAACTGTATCCTTCAAACTTGTATTTATGGCTTTATTGTGTAAAAGGATCCTCATTTTTCTCACATGGTAGCAGGAGAGCTATCAATACTACAGATTTTAGGAGATGGTTAAGCTAACAAAATTGAAGTATCCAGTCCAGTTTTGCTGGTTTTATGTGATCTCTTGAGTACATATGGCTTCATATTAGTAATGGAACAGGCAGGATGTTCAGCCTGGTAACCACTTAACCTTGTGATAACTTTTTATTACACCATCCAGCTAGATGCTGTTAGATTTGTTATAAAATCTATGTAGGACTGTATATCTTTATATTCTTACTAGTGGATTACTGGCAGGAAGAAATGATGGCTAGCAGATTCATATAGGCAAGTATATATCATCATGAATTTTACACATGGATTCATTTTAGATTTATTCTCTGGTATGTTGTTTTCAAATCAGGATATTTTCTTAGGTTCTTCCAGTCCAAATCAAACTTTCTACAAGTCAGTACATTTCACCTCCAAAGACTATGGGATTTCTGATGTCTGTGGAGGGAATAACAGCAAAGACACCATGTCTGGATATTAAGAAGTATTAGCTCTGAGTTTCTATGGAAGGGAAGGTTTCATAGGTCATATATTCATTGAATAAACTCTTGGTTGCTTCCATGATTTATGTTTCTGCGATCCCTGCCTGCATTAGGTTTTTTTCTAACTATCTTTGATATTTTGGATATGAAGGATATACATACTGAAAACATTATCGTATTCAAAATGATTCTGCCATAACCAATCTGCCAAAAACTACCAACATAGTAAATGTCTTTAAGACTGAGCTTTGCAAGGCCAAAAATCTGATGTCCATTATATGACATAGTGGACTTGGAGACCATCTTTGTGGAAAACCTTTGGATTATTGTTTTACAGTCACTAAATATGTTGCACACCGATGTCCAGAAAATAGATTATGATCTACATGCCATACAATGCTGAGGATTCTGAAGTCTCCAGTAACTTTGATCAGAAATATCAGGATGAGATTTGCAAGTCCTGAGTTAAATCTGCAGCAGTTTTCCATTTCTGACAGGTTGCCATTCTGCACCCATCTGGAGTTTTGCCACCAGCCTCGAAAGGCCTGGGGTTTTATTCTTAGTTTGAAGACTGAGATGCTGCTTCTAAAGACAAATAACACATCTGAGGCTCTGTAGAAGTGCTCTGACTTAAAATATTCATTGCTATTGACAAGGTTGCAACTTGGTGACAGCATTACCAGAAAACTTATGTAAGTTTCTGAACTCGCTATAAATCTATGACTGATAATGATTGCTCAGCCAGTGCTCACAGGATCTGAACTGCTGTTACCCTCAATTTGCAATCCAAAAGAGTTGAATGGGCTGAAAAACTGACTCGTGTCTTGTGACTTGAGACACAAACTATGTATGAATACTAAGGTTTTAAAATGTACTCATAAAAAGTTAGAGTCAGCTATGGGAGATGACCAAGAGTACAGATGTCATCAATGAAGACATCCTTTTGCTATCTTATTTATTCTTTACTATGATAATTTCTGATGAAGTTATACTAAAAATTAGACAGAGATTCTCAAATCAGTTGTGTGTAGAGCTGAAAACTGCTGATTCCAAAACCAGAAATCCAGGAGTTGAACACTTTAGAGAAGCCTCAAGTGCAGGAATAATTTCTCACAACTGCCAGTGGCTTCTAATGTTTCTTCAAAAAGTAGTCAAGAAATGAAAGAATAGCTCTAGGATGGTCTTTAGTTTTAGAAGAGACTTGAATGCTTAGTCATTGATAATTACTCATTGAGGTCTGCTTGGTGCAGCTGGATCCTTCTTATTCCTTACCAAATTGAGGCGTCAATGGTACTGAGGTGGCAGTTTTGCACAGTGCATTCCTTCCTTTGCATCCCAGAAAATGTACATGATTGATTGTACTGATATTAAAGCCCTTTTACTGTTCATCCAGAATTCATGATTTAGTTATGCAAAATAATGAGTTTTACTTCAAAAGAACAAAAGTTTTTAAATCCATGTCCTTTTTGTTTGCTTTTATTTCTAGAACCTGTAGGGTTCATATATTTGTCTTGATCTGCAGTTTTGGGGCTTGAAACTTTCCTTGAAATATTTCTCCATGCTCACTTGAGTCCCCAGGAACTATGGTTTAGGTAAACACCAAATATAACGTGCAGTGAAGGGGTAAA